CAACTTATTATCTCTACAAAAATGCAAATATTCTGTGAGCATCTCTCCTGTCTAAGCTAAAGGTGTTAGATTGAATGGTAAGTATAATGGTCTTAGATAGCCAGTTTGGTGTTGTGGTTAAGGCACCAGGCTAGAAAGCAGGAGACTGTGAGTTCTAGTCCCACCTTAGGTATGAAGCCAGCTGGGTGACTTTGACCCAGTCACTCTCTCTCAGCCCTAGGAAGGTGGCAATGGCAAACCACTTCCAAAATCTTGCCAAGAAACTGCTGGGATCAATCTGGGCAGTCGCCTGGAGCCAACACTGACTCAAAGGCATTTTTTAAAAAAAGGTCTTACCTTAGGAGTGAACATATGCAGAATCCCATCTACTGCCCCTCTCAGAAGCAAGCCCCGGACCAGGAAACAGATCAATACCACATACGGAAAGAGAGAGCTGAAATACATCACCTACATGAGGGAGAGGATGTGATATAAATCAGCGGTAGCACTGATAGGCACCAAGGCCATCTTTTTCTGTAAAAACGTTGGGAACTTCAATTTGATGAGACTAGGAAAATTATCTGCTAGACATTCTTAGCCTTCCCTTGCAAACAGAACTATGATTTCCAGAAGGGCAGTCCACTAGACTGAGAAACTGAAAAACATCTCAGAAGAAGATGATGGCAAACCACTTCCATACTGTTGCCAAAAAGTCAGGATGGGCATGTCTATACATTCCCCAGAAATCAAGCTTGTAATCCTTGTTGAAATAAGAGTTATGGAGTCTTGTGGCATTTTAAATATGAATAAATGCATAAGGTCCATACACTGGTGAAGTAGGTTATAGTCCACAAAAAATTATGTTACAATAAATGTGTCCATTCATATTATAATACATTTGTTCAAGACCTCTAGTACTTTAAATCAAGCTATCTAATTGGAATGAACATTGGACACTGCTGAATACAACCCATTGTTGCCATGGGCTGCTCACATGCTTGTCTTTTAGATGTCTACCGAAAAGCACAGGACCATACTTGTACTTGGCAGCTGGGTAGACAAAGTCTGCATGTTTCCCTTCACTTGAATGTTCTGGATGTGTAGCAGTGACTGCTGAATTATGGTCTTAAAAGAAGGGTATCAGTTAGTTGCAGAAGTCCTGTTCTCCCACGGCACTTACCTTTCCCGAGGATTGGATTCCTTTGATCATGGCCAAGCCCACAATGCTCCAAGCTGCCAGCAGACATAAGGTCATTCTCCAGTTAAGCCCACCACTCTCTGAAATGGAGTTGGAAATGTCCAGGGCATTGCGATACCAGAAGAAAGTAGTTGCAGAGCTTTTGTCACATTCCGGTTCCACAGCTACAGAGGATAAGAACTTGGGTTGAGTACATTATGTACAAACCTTTGCTTTGGCATTTTACAGTGACATGCCTAAGTTGTAGCTAAAGGAGATAGAATTTATTTATTTAGTGGCTAAAGAGAACTGGCGCATAGGACACATCAGGAAAGATGCCTAAGATCTTTTTCAGAAATGGAGGTGGGGAGAATGTTGCTATCCAAAATTAAAGGTTGAATAAATTGGGTGATTTATACTCACTATAAAAGATTCATCTATGTGCTGGGAGATGTTCAAAGTCTATTAAACGCTCCATTAACTTCCAAAATGTCTCTGTTGCATCCTTTGGAAACTATCTATGTCTTGCTAGCTAATACAATTTCTTATTCCAGCAGGTTGAAATAGACTTGAGCTATTGTCATTTCTTGGAATGGAAGAGCGAGTAACATTATTACTATGAGATACAGGGCAAATTAATATTTTGTGCTCCTCAATGATGGAAGAAGAAAGTGAGCACATCCCACCCCTCCATGTGGCATTAACAGTAAGCAGCATTAAGTACTATTTCAACAATTATCTTCATTGCAGTTCTAATAAAAAGTATACAATTATAATGAAAGTTTGCCCGATCTCTCTCCCATATAGAAAGCGGCAAAAACTGGCTACTCACTTGCCACTGAGCCATTTTTTAAGACAGGACATTCACTCCAAGGTAAAGGATACTGGAAGGATTTGAAAAAGTAGAAGATGCTCCATCCAATGATCACATTATAATAGAGTCCAACAAACAAGCAGACCTGGTAAAAGGAGATTGAAACCATGTCTGGATCCTATATAATAATACATCGTTCAAACAAAGGTAGAGGACATACTAAAGTGAACCCCAGGAAATGGCCAATTTAATTGTCAGATTCAGCAAGGATAGTTTTATGAACATATTTAATCTCCAAGTTACCTGGAAGCACTCATATGCCAAGAGAGTGCTCCCAAAGAACCTGCTTAATTCCAGTGGCTGTAGACCATGATGTTTTCATTCAGCTGATGGCATAGATCTACGTCATCCATTGAAATAAATAGAGCAGTATACATGGGCAAGAAATATGACTGTACATTAAATGTGACATAGAAACTCATCTGGGTGTTGATGTATTTCTTCCTTTGGATATGTGAATAATTTTGAATCAGAACTTTCCCAGAAAGCAATTGTGGAATTAATTCAGTGCAGTAAATTACATGTTGCCACAGAATCCCTTTGTGTACAGACATTTAGCCCACTGTAGTGTATGCATCCTTAACCAACATTTCTTTGGTTTAACATGGTCATAGAATGATCTGATTGGAAGGTTTTATTATAAGAATTTCCCATTTGCCAGCTGCTCAGTGATTTTCAGAAAGGAGTAATCCAGTAGGGGATCCTCTACCTTATGGCACTCCTGTGGAATACTCATTGAAAAGATGGCAACCATCAAAAGACATAATTGCTCTTGAGCTACATATAAAATTTGAGCATGCAAGATAAGAAAATAAGCAGAAACGGAAGTTTATCTTGACTAAAATTTGATGACCTTGATCCTATTGCCATTAGATCAAAAGGGAAAAGTGATAAATGTTGAATAAAGCAGAAAAATGATAATTTGAAAAGGTGAATCATTCCATTTTGTACTAAATTCAGTCCTCATGTTTTTAGTTAAGTTGAATTTAATACAAAATAGCAAGAAAGTGTAGTATGGGAGATAAAATGCAACAAGCAACTCTCTTTGAATACATTATTCTGATAATGCTCAAATAACTGTAAGTTGTACTTTTATGAAAGAGATTTTAGCTGGAAGTTAATGGTATTAAATCAAGGAACTCGTGCACAGCTTCACAAGCTGCAGTCTTTTCTATTGAAAAATAGCTGTTCTCCACCAAGGCCAGTCTCCTAATGAGCTGAGTTCCTACATTAACTGCAATTTATATAATATTGCAAAATCCAACAGAAGATCTTGCAAAATGATCTCAAACATGATTCTTTGCTTTGTCATAATTCCCCTTGTTTTCAGCATTACAGGTAGTCCCTGGGTTAAGAACACCCAGGTTACAGATAACCCACAGTTAAGAACAGTGTCTATTGTACTCAATTGTACATCTCCATCCCAGGTGAGGTAAGTGATGCCGTGACCACCCTTTCGTGGTGCCTGGAGG